TGTGTGCATCCGCGTGTGCATCCGCGTGTGTGTGTGTGTGTGTGTGTGTGTGTGTGTGTGTGTGTGTGTGTGTGTGTGTGTGTGTGTGTGTGTATGTGTGTGCATCCGTGTGTGTGTGTGTGTGTGTGTGTGTGCATGTGTGTTCTCTGCAGCTATATGCGGCTACGTGGACGTGGAGTCTGACGACTCGTCTTCGGGAGAGGACGAGGGCTGTAACGTGCTCGGTGCATCACGCTCTGCCATCTCTCTGGATGGTTCTCAGGTGTTCACACCAACAGCAGCCGGGACGGCAATGCGGGGCGGCGGAGATGGCGACGATGACTCTATGGAATCGTGTTATCAGATGCCGCGCAAGCAGCCGTCCACGCTGAGCATACCCGGCCGGGACGAGTCGTTCACGTCGGACGTCGAGACCGGCGTGGATGAGGCGGACGTGTTCGGGCATGGCGGAGGCGGAAAGCAGGGAATGCAGAAGATGAAGTATGCCGTGCAGGAGCTGGTCGAGACGGAGCGACAGTACGTCAAAAATCTCACCGTGCTGGTGGAGGGCTTTCTGCCGCACATGAAGTCCGACTTCTTGCCCAGCATCCTGGTCGGCTCGGAGAAGGAGATCTTCTCGAACTGCGCCGAGATCCTGGACTTTCACGCCAAGCTGCTCAAGGACCTGGAGCTGTTCGCCGAGGAGGACCCGCGACAGGCGTGCCTTCTGTTCGTCAAGCACGAGGAGAGCTTCTGGATGTACTTTCCCTACTGCAAGAACAAGAAGCGCTCGGACGAACGCCTGGCGCAGTTCGGCGGTACGTTCTTCGAAGACATCAAGCGACAGCTCGGCCTGCAGTTGTCTCTGGGTGCGTATCTGTTGACTCCGGTACAGCGTATACAGCGCTATCGCATGCTGCTGGAGAACATCCTCAAGTACGCGGCGCGCGCCAAGCTGGACATCGTCGAGGACCTGGAGCAGGCGCTGGCCGTAGTGGCACGCATCCCGAAACTCGCCGACATTGCCATCGACTTCAGCCTGGTCACCAACCTGCCCGCCGAGCTCAACAACATCGACGAGCGGCAGTTCTCGCTGGCCGCCGACTTTGTGACCTGGGGCGGGAAGTCGCGCTCTCGCAAGGTCTCCAAGGGCAAGGACCTACACGTGTTCCTCCACCGCAACTTCATCATCCTCACCAAGAAGAAGGACTCGTCCTCGCACGGACGAGACGAGGGATTCGTGTACAAGAGCCACATACTCACGAGCGACATCGGCGTGGCCGAAGAGCCACCGCCTGATAAGTCGGACAAGAGCATCCGTCTGAAGTTCGCCATACCAATCGGCAAGTCGTCATCGAGCGGGGCCAACCAGTTTGTGTTCCAGGCGGCCACGGCCGAACAGAAGAAAGAGTGGATGCTGGAGGTGGAGCGTCTTCTGCTCGATCAGCTGTCCGCGGCCAAGAAAAGCCTGCCGCTGCGCGTCACACCTCACACCCAGCCACCGACATCCAACAGAGGTGGAGTGGTTGGTGATCCAGGCGAGGCGAGCGCGCAACGCGGCAGCAACGCCACCGTCCGCAGCAGCCAGGGCGAGCAGATTAGCGAGATGTTTGGCAACACGCCACGACCGCCGAATCGCCCGATCGCCGACAGGCCGGCGTCGTCCATGCAGCAGCTGCAGCTGCCGGAGTTTCACTTCTACGTCAAGCAGCCTATCACCGGTAACCCTGACGACGGAGAGCTAACGGTCATCACTGGGCAGATTGTTGAAGTTCTCGACGACACCATCCCTGGCGATCTTCTGATGGTACGCCGCTTGAAAACCGACATTGAAGAGGAGGAGGAAGGCTTCTTGCCTTTGCCTCGCCGTGCTCTTCTCACTCCGCCACCGGTGCCGGAACCAGCAGTCGTCCGGACTCGCTCGCCGGACTACGACGAGATACCGGAGGCGGCGGAGACGAAAACCACACGTGCATCGACATCCCAGCCGCCGGGCAGCCAGCGGTCTTCGACCGTGCCGACGCATCGGCAATCACATCACTCCTCCGTGCCATCCGCTCGTGAAAGCAGCGTCAGCAGCAGCGTTGGTGGTGGTGGTTCAGTGGTGGAGAGGCGTGAATCACAGCGGTCCACCGCCGGCATGCCACCTGCCCGTCCCCCACCGCCCGTAGCAGCCGTTCCACTCGACGACGACAAACTCTACGCCATCTTGGATCACCATGACGACACGTCTGGCCACGTCAGCGTCAAGTTTGGCCAGGAGGCGAGCGTGATTGAGCACATGGACGGCTTCTATCACGTGTGCGTGAAGTGCGACGACGGGAGCTACGAAGAAGGCCTCGTGCCAACTTCGGTACTGGGTACTTACACGCACATGATGGAGTTACGTGCGGATACACAACGATCCGTTTCGGCCGCTCCCAGTATCACCATCGAGCCTAACGCTGTACAGCCACGGTCTAGCGGTATTCCCAGTGAGCATCGCAAATCTACGTCCCTGTCAGCCGCACCTCCAGCGCCGCCTGGTGCGCCACCACCTCCCCCGCCGCCTCCTCCTCCTCCACCACCACCACCACCACCACCACCGATGTCTCCACCAATGTCGCCGACGCTGAGAATCAAAACCCGGCTGGACAAGGACGCCCCACTGTCTCCATCCGATGCCGCCGGGGGCCAGAAGCCGGGCACCCCGAAGACACCAATGTCCCCTTTCGGCGGCGGAGTCGATTTTCAGTCTGAGCTGGCAAACCGTCTCAAACGGCGTCGCGTCGAGAAAACCGATGACAACAATGACGACACGAACAGGCAAGAGAAACCCCCTGCTGTGGTGGAGATTGTGCCCCCACCTCAGCTGACGTCGGCGCCTGTTGAAAGCGTTCCAATGTCGTCATTGGGCGGTGGCGGCTCGCGGCCTGCGAGTGTGCCGGTATCCTTGCCGTCATCGTCTCAGCCGTCGAGTCGTGCCGCTTCCCGACCAGCCAGCAGCACGGCTGCTAGTACAGCAGCGGGCACGGCGGGCAGCAGCAGCCAGACACCTTCGACTGCAAGCAGTTCGACGGCGATCAGTCGTAGAACCAGCTCGCAAGCGTCTCTCGGTATCCCGTCCGGTGATCTGCCGCCGCGTTCCAGAAGCCCGGTGTGCATTCCGGACGACGAACTCGAGGACGAGGCACACGCCGTCCCCTCCCAGGGTGTCGCCGCTGCCTCCGCCCCGGCCCCGATGCCCGCCGGTCCCCGACCTGCGTCCTACGCGCACCACTCTTCCAGGAAGCCGCCCCCGCCGGTAGCGCCCCGACCCGGCTCGCTCGGCGCCAAGCCCAGCGGTTCTTTCCGACCGTCGCAACACACGACATCGCTGGACGTGCTCACAGAACAGTCTACTGCCGCAAACGGACTGTCTACAACTCCACGCTCGTCGATAGCCGAGGAAGTCCGGTCGCTCTCCGACAACATTATGGAGGTCAAGCCTCTCGAGGGCTTTGGCGAAGAAGACGTGTACGTGGTGGTGAAGGACTACACGTCAGAAGCCGGTGGGTATGTGACCGTGCATCAGGGCCAATTTGCCACTGTCCTGGACATGGTGGACGACATCGCGTTGGTCCGCGTGCACGGCGTGAACGGCGAGGAGCCCGAGGAGGGGTTTCTCCCGCGCCTCGTCCTGGACCGGCCCGGCCCCGGGATGCAGGCTACCAGTGAGATGGCGGGGACCGACCCGGATCCCGAGGTCGATGACGAAAAGCCCCTGAGCCCCGGCCCAGTGTCCGTGAGCATGTCGCATCTGCTCGGTCGCCCCAAATCTGATCCGGTCATCTCCGTACCGCAGCAACCGCAGCAACAGGAGAAACAACAAGCAAAACTCGCATCGCGGCACTCCGCTCCGCCAGGCACCATCAAACGCGCCACGACCAATGTGCTCAAGCGTCGCTCAAAGCTGCAGGATCGTCTGCGCGCCGCGCTGTACAAGTCTGAATTCCTGGGGCTGCCCGAGGCCAGGCAGAAACTGGACGACGGAAAACTCGACGAGCTTTCCAATCCTGGCGAGACGTTCGTGGCGGTCGAGAAGTGGACGGCTGCGGACAGCGGACAGTTGTCGCTCTACAAGGGACAAGTGGTGAACGTCCTGGACCGAGATGCGGCGGATTGGTGGCTGGTGCGTGTTGAGGTGAATGACTCGGCCCAGTTCGTCGAGGGCTGGGTACCGGCCAATCACCTCGTTCCCAGGGAGTCGGATACGGAGGGAGAACCCCCCGCAGCAGCCACGACGCCGTCGCAACCAGCGATGATGACGCCGGCGAAATCCATAGAGCCCGTTGCCGAGGAGACGGAACCCTCCTGGTATGAGGGCAGCAAAGCGTCGTCGGAGGAGGAGCTCACCGCGGTGATCGGCGCACGGTACGCCGTGCGCTACGACTTCTCGGCCGACAGCCAGGACGCTCTGCACGTCAAGCAGGGTGAGACCATCGAGCTGCAGTCGGTCAGCGGTGAATGGTGGTACGTCTCGCGCCGTGCTGCGGCGGGTGATGATGACGCTGCAGAGCAGGGCTGGGTCCCGGCGTCATACCTCATCTCCGTGCCAACCGGTGGCGGCGCCGCAAGTCAAACTGATAGTGGTGGTCGGCATGGCAACGACGAACCTGACTCGGCACCGGCGTCGGCAGTTGTCGTGGTACCCAGGGCACAAGTGGAGCATCATCACTCTTCCGGTGACGGCGATGTTGAGGACTCGGACGATGATGGTGAGTGTCCTGTTCGAAATCAATGTAATATGCTGTATGAGCCAGCGGCACCAAGAGTACATGAAAACCAGAGTGTGCAGCTTGGGGCTTTTTCTACATGGGTGTCTGTCACGGCGGAATTCCGTGATTACATCATATTTGGCGCAGATCTGAGGCGGGAAATGGCGTAGTGCGTACAACTGAGCTGCAGTTGTGCAGAAAGAGACCTGCTTGAATCCTGCTTGTACGCACTACATCACTAAAATGATGTAATCACGGAATTCCGTCGTGACAGCCACCCATCCGAGCTGCACACTCTGGTTTTCATGCACTCTTGGTGCCGCCTATGCATAAAACATGGCTATAGCCTTTTGTGGGGCGACGTGTCACCTATTTGGCACGTACAGCCTGCTCCAGCACATTCGTGAGTACAACCATATTACAGTGTGTACGGCTGAAGTGGACTCACCCCGCAAGACCAAACGGCGGGAAGATTATGCATAGCCAGTAGCCACCATTGCACAATGACATGATTTGTACCATAAACACCCCACGCATACAGCCATCTGGGCATGGTCGCCTGTGCTGTGTTGAACAGTGCATTGCTGTTCTATGGTCATCCGGGGGTGTTGAACAGTGCATTGCTGATCCATGGTCGTCTGGGTTGTTGAACAGTGCATTGCTGATCCATGGTCATCCGGGGTGTTGAACAGTGCATTGCTGATCCATGGTCGTCCGGGGTGTTGAACAGTGCATTGCTGATCTATGGTCATCCGGGGGTGTTGAACAGTGCATTGCTGATCCATGGTCGTCTGGGTTGTTGAACAGTGCATTGCTGATCCCAGTGTACTCACATGCATTACTCATACCTTCCATATTTGGCAATGCGCAATGGGCTTATTATAATCTTGTACACTCCAGTTGTGGCTTATAGTACTGTCGGGCGCCGAAGAACGGCCATGCTAGGATGCTGTTGTAACCCTTCTGTGTGATATGTGTGTGCGTACGTGTGTGTGCGCGCGTGTGTGTATGCGCGTGTGTGCGTGCATGCGTGCGTCTGTGCACGTGTAGACACCAGTTCGGAGGGCGAAGGCACGGGGGAGATGGGCGTCAATCGTCGCAAGAACCTGGCCCAACGTCGCCGCACCGTGTTTGAAGACTCCACCACCACACGACTCATGGTGGATGAGCAGGCAATGGAGCTGGAAGCTGAGATACGCCAGAAACGTAGCAAAGCGCAGGAGACACAGAGCAAGGCGGTAAGTAGATCATGCGTCAGGGGCAACGTCGGAACGTAGTTTAGTGTGGTAGGGTCAGCCATCTGAAGTACAATTTACTCGTGTGGGAGGGGAGGCTGAGCCGACAATTTTGGAAATTTAGAGCCCCGGATGAGTGTATTTTGTTGATTCACGGGGTATCTGTGGCAAAAAGTGGTATGGTCAATACCGTAGTGACCGCACCGTGTCCGACGCCCCTGTGCCTGCCCCTGGCTAGAGTCTCACATGTTCATCTCCTTGTGTGCTTTGATAGAAGTTTCACGTTGGGGGCCTTTTTTAGTGCCGATCAGTGTGTGTGTGTTTTGTGTGTGTGTGTGTGTGTGTGTGGTTGTGTGCGGATGCGCGTTTGCACGTGCGCGTGTGTGCGCATGCACGTGTGTGTATATGCAGTTCTTCAGCCTTTAAAGGGGAAGTTAAGGCTAAAATCAAAATGTTCACCAGTTGTAGTCTTCGGGGTGCTGAGTCGAATGGTCTTGGTCCAAGGAAGCTGAGACGCTCCCTTCCTACTTTAATCCCAATCGAACTCGCGCACTTCCACCGAAACTGGGTGCCTGCGCCCTACTAGATGGGGATTTGTATGCAAAATGTCACTAAAAGCGCCATTTCGTTCTTATAAAAGCACGGATGACCGCGATTGGCCCATATGTTGTAGTCTTTTGGACGCTGAGTCGACTGGTTTTGGTCCGAAAAGGCTGCGATGCAGCGTTCCTCCTTTATTCCCAATCGAACATGGTTGAACAAGCGGCCACGTGCTTATGCGTACACCAGTCACCTGGTCACCGTGCCTGCAGGGTACAACTTACTAGCCTGTTTGACCTTTTTTGGGTGCAGTCCTGTCACTCGAGTTGAACTCGAGTTGAACCTTGGTGTAAAAGTTGTCGCCTGCTGGCGCGGTGACCAGGTGATTTGGGCACCCAGGAGCACGTGACCGCTTGTTCAACCATGTTCGATTGGGAATAAAGGAGGAACGCTGCATCGCAGCCTTTTCGGACCAAAACCAGTCGACTCAGCGTCCAAAAGACTACAACATATGGGCCAATCGCGGTCATCCATGCTTTTATAAGAACGAAATGGCGCTTTTAGTGACATTTTGCATACAAATCCCCATCTAGTAGGGCGCAGTCGCCCAGTTTCGGTGGAAGTGCGCGAGTTCGATTGTGATTAAAGTAGGAAGGGAGCGTCTCAGCTTCCTCGGACCAAGACCATTCGACTCAGCACCCCGAAGACTACAACTGGTGAACATTTTGATTTTAGCCTTAACTTCCCCTTTAAAGGAATTGAATGGTGCAACCTATATGCACACGTTGTCATTATCTGCTGAGCATCGCTATAAATACCTCCTCCTGTGTGCCGTGTCACGGTGTGTCTAAGGTCTGAGGCGTGTATGTGTGTATGAACATGCGCACGCGTGTATGTGTATGTGTGTGTGCATGTGTATGTATGTGTGTGTGTGTGTGTGTGTGTGTGTGTGTGTGTGTGTGTGTGTGTGTGTGTGTGTGTGTGTGCATGTGTATGTGTGTGTGTGTGTGTGTGTGTGTGTGTGTGTGTGTGTGTGTGTGTGTGTATGTGTGTGTGTGTGTGCGTGTGTGTGTGTTTATATGTGTGTGTGTGTGTGTGTGTGTGTGTGTGTGGGTATGCATGTGCCCTACTGTTTGTATGCATTTGAACGCGTGTACGCCTGCGTATATACACGTATGCACATCTGTACGACTCAACATGTCTACGTGCCGTGTGGCTGCTGCTGCAGGGAGAGAGAGGGAAGCGTCACTTTCTCATTGCCGAGCTGGTCGACACTGAACGTCGCTATGTGAATCAACTGCGCTTCACCCTGGACAACTTCCGGCCTAAACTGAATACTCCAGGGTGTCCATCTGAGCTTCATGGTACGGTCGGAAAGCGGCAAGGAGTGCAGATTTAATGCAGATACATCTACAGTCAACTTCGCTTATAACGACACTCGGCGGGGCATCAAAAAAGTGTCCTTATTCGCGAAGTGTCGTTATACCCGAAGTCTCATTATGTATTGATACAGTTGGAAGGGACTTTGCTCTGGGCATGGAAATGCTGTCGTTATTGGCGAATTGTCGTTATATCCGCAGTCGTTATTAGCCAAGTTGACTGGAATTATTATACAGTAAAAACCTGTGACTAATGACCAACCCTCGGGGCAAAGAAGGGGAGGGAGGAAGAAGGGGAGGGAGGAAGAAGGGGAGAAAGAAGAGAAGGGGAGGCATAAACAAGTGAGAGTTTGTTGATATAAAATACATTCCACTGCACTAAACACAGAGCGCTTACCCGTCCTTTGCGCCGCATGCCAACTCTGTACTGCAAGATACAGTGCTTCGAAATTCCGCCAAAAAGGTTTCTATTAATACTGAAGAATCACGGACCCAACTCGCAAGGGAGAGAAAATAAAGAGTAATAAAATAATAACACGTATCACGGAAAGAAGGGAAAGACCAAGAAATAACAAACGGGACAGCAATTGAGTGGGGCTGCACAAAACAGCGGTGACGATGGGACCGATAATTGCACCTATCAACACTGGCACTACAAGTGGAATTTGTTAGGTGGCCTGCAAAGCACTCCATAAGCCTTTGAGCTGGTCACTTAACTCCAGGTTACCAGCCCCGCCGCATTCGTCCTACCATGCGGTTGTCAGGGTGTAAGCGTAACCGTGTTAGCAGCCTATCCATATTAGTCCTACCATGTGGAAGTGCGGTGTAAGCCTAACCTCTTTAGCTGCCCCTTCCACATTTGTCCTACCATGTGGAAGTGCGGTGTAAGCCTAACCTGTTTAGCTGCCCCTTCCACATTTGTCCTACCATGTGGAAGTGCGGTGTAAGCCTAACCTGTTTAGCTGCCCCTTCCACATTTGTCCTACCATGTGGAAGTGCGGTGTAAGCCTAACCTCTTTAGCTGCCCCTTCCACATTTGTCCTACCATGTGGAGGTGCGGTGTAAGCCTAACCTCTTAGCTGCCCCTTCCACATTTGTCCTACCATGCGGAAGTGCGGTGTAAGCCTAATCATTTCACCCACTGTGAGTCCCGCTCTAGCCCAAACCTGGTCTTGAATGTCTGTGTGTGCAGTGGAATGTTAACTGTATTTTCCTTCACCATGGGCACAGGTAATGTCTGCCTTCTTCTCACTGGGCGTATTGCCGCAGTTCCTGAGCCAAGTCTTGTTCCACTCTTGTGTGGAATGTGTTTGTTTCGTGCAGGCAAGAAGGTGTTTATCTTTGCAAATATGGAGGAGCTGTTTCAGTTCCATACGAACGAGTTCTTACGAGAGCTAGAGAACTGTGGGGACGATGGAGAAAAGGTATGGGAGCTGTGTGTGCATGTGTGTGTGTGTGTGTGTTTGTTTGTGTGTGTTTGTACGTGCATGCGTGCATGCGTGCGTGCGTGGAGAAAAACTCAGTCTAGCCGAGTCTGCACGCGAACTGTGATTTCGTTTGTCGCTTGCTGGTAAAGATCTGAAGGTGAAGATATATTAATGTCTGCTTGCACAGTGAAACCTGTCTAAGACGACCGCTCAAGGGACCTTCAAAATGCGACCTCTGTTACCAGGTGGTCTCCTTATCCAGGGTCATTTGACTGGAAGTAGCATCCCTTGATCCTGGTGGCAGTGGTCTTCTAGGACAAGTGGTCGCCTTATCTGAGTGGTCGCCTTGAATGTCTACCTGTATTTTGTGGTTTGTTTCTATTCTAGGTCGGCCGTTGCTTCACAACGTATGAAGATTACCTTCAGATGTACGTCTCCTACTGTCGTAACAAACCCAAGTGTGATATGTTGCTAAGCGACGCTGTCAAGCAGTTCTTCAGGTAAGAGCGTGGTTGTACGTTCAATGAGTGCAGAAAGTGCAATACCATCATGTCGTCTGGGGATTAGCGGATGACCATGAAACTCCGAGTTACAGCTTAATTCAGCCTACAGTCCATTCATCGGAAACAGCTTTTGAAAAGCCGATTTGGGCCGAATTGAGGATGAAAAGCCCACTTTAAATTGGTTTGGGATCTGCTTCTCCATACATGTGAGGTGATCACACGACCAGTTTCTGGCAGTGAGCAACTACAAGTATGTATGTGTGTGTGTGTGTGTGTGTGTGTGAGTGTGTGTGTGTGTGTGTGTGTGTGTGTGTATGTGTGTGTGTGTGTGTGTGTGTGTGTGTGTGTGTGTGTGTGTGTGTGTGTGTGTGTGTGTGTGTGTGTGTGTGTGTGTGTGTGTGTGTGTGTGTGTTTGTGTGTTGACTAGTTGAGGGAATGGAAAAAGGAAAAAAATCTGAAGAAAAATATGTGTGTGCGTGCGTGCGTGTGTTGGCGTGCACGCATGTTTGCTGTGTACGTCCTGTGTGTGCACGTTTGTGTGTGTGTATGCCGATCACACCCGCGATGCAGCGATGTACCCAGCCCGAACAAGCTGACCATTGAGGATTACCTCATGTGCCCGGTGCAGCGCATTAGCCGCTATCAACTCATGCTCAAAGACCTAGTCAAGGACATGCATCGACATAGCCAGGAGTGTCCCGATCTGGAGTCAGCAGTGGAGGTAGAGTCCAAGCCATGCCATGTTTATACCCTGAAGCTGTCATAAAAAGTGTACTTTTACTGTACAACGAGCACTTGTCTTGCACTTTGTACTTTTTAGACAGGTTCAGATCTGGTTCTATGACTGAGGGGGGGGGGGGGGGGTAGGTTGGAGGGAGGTTAGAGGGAGGTTGGAGGGAGGTTGGAGGGAGGTTGGAGGGAGGTTAGAGGGAGGTTGGAGGGAGGTTGTTGGTGGGGGGGGGGGGGGGGGGGAGGGGGGCGGCGGTGCTGGCTGGCTAGCTGGTTGGCTGAGTGCCAGGGGGGGGGGGGGGGGGAGCTGAGTGCGTGGAATCTTTGAATCTGTGGGCGTCTGTCTTCCTTCACTGGCCCAACTATCAATTTGGCCAGAGTAACGCGTACACCGGTGAATTTTGGCTTCTATTTGCGGGTGAAATGTGTACAGTCACTTGACTGTCAAACACTTGGTGTGGAAGGGTTCCTTTGACCACACTTTGAATCAGAGATATTTGCACTAAGCCGGGGGCCATTGTGTGTGTGTGTCTGTGTGTGTTTGCGTGCGCGCATGCGTGTGTGTGTTTCCAAGGTGATGATGGAGATTCCACGGCGTGCTGACAATGCAATCGCTCTCGACCTTGTTGATGGGTCAGAGGGCATGGAGACAAGGTGAAGGAAGGGCTGAAGATGATCTGCGCCTCTCTCTTTCTCTCTATCTCTCTCTCTCTCTCTCTCTCTCTCTCTCTCTCTCTCTCTCTCTTTGTCTCTCTCTGTCTCCCTCACTCTCTGTCTTTCTGTCTTTCCGTCCCTCTGTCCCTCCGTCTCTCCGCCTCTCCGTCTCTCCGTCTCTCCGCCTCTCCGTCTCTCTGTCTCCCTCACGGTCTCTGTCCCTCTCCCTCTCTCCCTCCCTTCCTCCCCCCTCTGGCTCTCTGTCTCTTTGTCTCCCTTCCTCCCTTCGTCCCTCCCTCGGGCTCTCTGTCTCTTTGTCTCGCTTTTTATTTCTCTGTTTCTCTCTGTCTGTCTCTCTGTCTTTCTCTGGCTCTCTCTGTCTCTCCCTGTTTCTCTCTGTCTCTCTCTCTGTCTGTCTCTCTGTCTGCCACGGTCTCTGTCCGTCTCTGTCTCTGTCTCCGCTTACATCATAGCCAGCAATCGTATGTCATCACGTACATTGAAAATCAACATAATTTTGCGAATCGACCTTTTTTTCATGATCACTTTTCAACGAGGACGAAGCAAAGTCGGCCGAACGAAGCCTAGAGGAAGAAAATCACCCTCTCCACTTCACCATCACGATACTGACATAGATACGAGATGAAACAACTAAAAAATCCACAAGAAAACTGTACGGCCATCATCGCGCTGACTTTGGTCTGACTTTGGTCTGAGAATTTCTATCACGATCAAAAATGTACGAGGAGCACTCAAAAATAAGCCACAGACGTACCTTTATCGCTCTCTACTCCTTTTTCAAGGCACAAAAGTCGACTCTCCACTTTCAAACCAGGAACCAGACATACCAGTGGTCCTTTTCAGCTGCTCCTTGAGCGCAGGAAATGTTCACCAAGGGGCGCAGAGCAGCATCCATTCCAGAAAAAGAGCTAAAATACGAGTGAGACTGCATGCCTGAGTACATGAGTATGAGTACATGCAGAAAATAGTCAATTTCAGCGATTCTGCTCCAAACAGCAACTAGCTTCGACTAGAAACAAAGATTACACCAAAGGATCAAACAACAGCCATTTTCTGCAGTTTTTTTGCAGATGGCTTCCTTGTGCTTGGCCCAGCACGCCAAAAATCACACCTCGGAGGAGTACAAAAATTACAACTCTCAGATGTCCTCGATTGCTGGCCATGATGAACACTATTTCTGAAACAGCCGGGAGCTGAATAAACCACTAAGCATAGTGATAGCACCATGGTTTAGGACACAGACAAACTTTTATAGCACATACAAGCGCATGTGCTTCTACCCGGGTATATTTACACTGAAAACAAGCAGATGTTTTGTTTATAAGCGCATGCGCTTACATGTAGGGAAGTACGGTGACGGTAGGTGCTGTGTTCCTATGCAGTCTTTTCGAGCTGGGTATACTATGTGAACATAGCAAAAAAATCACCACCTATGTCCTCTTCACTTACCAATACTTTCTTCTAGAAAAGATAAAGGACCAAGGAACTACAAGTTACGCTATAATGTCCACAAACACCACCAGTTGGTCCTTTTTTCTTTTCTATAAATGTATCCTTGGCTCTCCATCCGAGTTCAATACTTCCTTCTTTTTCTTTTTTTAGATATGGAGATTTATTGCGTCAGGATGCGTTCATAGTTTCTGACCAGAGCAGTCGCCGGCAGCGACAGACAGGTTCCGGCGAGCGCCTTCTCTTCTTGTTCCACGACCTGGTCCTGCTGACCAAGAAGCGGCGCGTGGAAGCGGCCGACATGCCACGCTACGTCATCAAGCATCAGATGAAGATGGACGAGCTACAGCTGACGCCCGTGGTGAGTGATGAGTACCCGGGCGGCCAGACATGGTCTACCAGGATAAACTACTGCTTGGAAGCGGCAGGATTTTTCTAACTGTGCTGCGATTCATAGTCACACATTTGTTGTGGTGTATAGAACTATCCTAACAGATTTTGAAACGCACTGCAAGCCCCCCTGGGGGTTGATGTACAGTGAATCAGTGAATCAGTGAATCTAGCTTGCTGATCGGCAGTTCCAATGTGCCGTCTACACTGTGTATGCTTCTCAGGTGGAAAGTGACGCACGCAAGTTTGTGCTCGCCGTCAGAACCAAGTCTACTGCAGTTCAACAGGTAATTATATTATGACTCCCAGATCATTATAATAACTCCCAGGTAATTATAATTATGGTGACTCCCGGGTAATTATATAATGACTCCCAGGTAATTATACAATGACTCCCAGGTATACGAGTGACTTCCAGGTAATCAGTTGCCTGTTGGTCGTGACTGCGTGAAACTCGGAGTTGCAACACAGTCCCCCCCCCCCCCCTCTCTCTCTTGTGTGGAAGGCTGTGCCTTATAAGGGTATTGAGTCTTCGGACAGTGGAGCATGCTACTTGATTACTTCCGGGTAATTATATTAGAAGAAAAAGGAGAAGCAGATTGAGAAAGAAAGGAAGGAGAAGAAAGACATGGAGCAAGAGCCGGAAAGCCTGAAGGATTATATAGACACGCTGGTAGCCGTGCAGTCGGTGTTGGCATCTCGAGTGGAGTTAGTACGCTCCCTCAGTGGAGGAGGTGCTGCTGCTGCTAATTATATAGTGGGTTCCAGATAATTGTAGAATGACTCCCAGCAGTCCCAGGTATGCTGTAAGATTGTGACGACCTTCTGATAACATAATGGAATATGTGGAGTGGGATACGTTGCTGCAGTTTGTATCATACTAACTTCTTGTCTGTGTTGTGGTGGTGTTGGTGGTGTTGGTGTGTGCGTGTGTGTGTGTGTGTGTGTGTGTGTGTGTGTGTGTGTGTGTGTGTGTGTGTGTGTGTGTGTGTGTGTGTGTGTGTGGGTGTGTATGTGTGCGCGGGTGCGTGTGCGTGTGTGTGTGCATGCGTGTGCATGCGTGTGCGTGGGTGTGTGGGTGTGTATGTCTTGCCTGCTCCGTCCGCAGCTGGAACTGCAGGCTAAGAATATCACAGTGAAAGCTATGTGGGTGAAAGAACTGGAACGTTTGCTCACCGAGCAGCTCATGAAGATCAAGGTACATTCTCTTTGCATTCAATTCGCATCCACCTTGCACTCATGCATTGGCATATCATTCACTTCGCATTCACCTCGCAATCCCCTCGCATTCACCTTGCAATCCCCTTGCATTCACCTCGCATTCACTTTGCGTTCACCTTGCATTCACCTTGCATTCACCTTGCAATCCCCTCGCATTCATCTCGCATTCACTTCGCATTCACTTCGCATTCACCTTGCAATCCCCTCGCATTTGCCTCGTATTCCTATGTGTTCATCCATGTGTGCATCTGTGTATGCATATATTCATATATGTGCTGATGCATTTAACAGGATTCTCAACTCTCGTCCGCTGGGTCGTCAGTTAGCGGGAGTGTGCAATCGCTATCGCACAGTGCAAGTTTTGATGTCGAGTCTTCCTCACCAGTAAGAAAACGGAGTCTCAACAGCCAGTGTGTGTGTGTGTGTGTGTGTGTGCGTACGTGTGTGCGTGCATGAACAGTTTGGACCGTTTGTGAAATGTCGGCATGCTCAACAACATTGGGCAGTCCAACTCCCACCCGTACACTGCACACATGCACACGCGCACGAATAAACGCACATGTGCCACCCCCCCCCCCCCCCCACACACACACACGCACACACACAGGCACGGCCGATCACAAGCAGTGTCAAATCAACCGTGTAATACATGTACGATCTTCACGTGTAGCACTGATTGAACATGCTCAGTTTTGTGTCAACAAGCAACTCTGGTTAACGATCATTGACAGATGCATGACCCCGTATGATTTGTTTATGCTGGCAATATGCCACTTGTTATTTTTTATTTTATTTTTTTTATTTTTTATCGCATTGCACATACCCACGGAAGAAGGGGAAACATAACGAAGACAATACAACAACAAAAAAACAACGTTGGGTGTGTAGGCTCTACATGAGCTGCGCTGGTGAGATGCGGGGGGGGGGGGGGGTATTATTATTATTGATAGCCCTGTGCTGTTCGTGTCTGCACTGCAGTCTTCCTTGCAGGCACACAGCGGAGGTCATGTGACCCGCTCAACGTCCTTGTTTGAACGAGGCTCGGGCATACGCACCTCGCTCTCGAAGACCAAGGCTGAGAAACCGGCCAAGGAGAAGAGCCAGTCGTTCAAGGAGAAATCGGTTAGTCCGCCACACCGCACACACTGTTCTCGTAGGTAGAGCGACTGTCTCTTGAGTCTTGTCTCCGCTATGTGAATATGCACAGTAAAACCTGTCAAAGTGACCACTCGGATAAGGTGACCGCCTGTCCTAGAAGACCACTGAAACTAGGATGCTATTTCCAGTCAAATGACCCTGGATAAGGAGACCACCTGTCCCAGAAGACCCTGTTTTGAAGGTCTCTTGAGCGGTCGTCTTAGACAGGTTTCACTGTTTGTAAATACACTGCTTGGCACTCAGCTGCGTTGAGCGCTTGTTCAAGCTGCCCTGGCTGACCCGCATTGTGATGGTGGATTTCGGGGGGACTGGCAAGCGATATGTGTGTGTGTGTTTATATGTGTGTATGTGTGTGTGTGTGTATGTACATGGTGTGTGTGTGCGTGCGCGCGTGTGCGTGATGTGTCTTGTCGCGTATGCCCACTGTCACCCTCTAACCCAGTTCAAGAAGCTGCAGAGCACGGAGATCTCTGCGTCTTCGGCAGCCGTGATTGCTGGCAATTTGCAGGTCGGTCAGAAGTTTGTCATCGCAGAGGATGTAGTGGCAGAGGGTAAAGATGACGTGCAGTTCAGCGTCGGAGACGTCGTCACTATTCTCCAGTCGAACAATAATGGTAAGAGTTGTTTGCTTGCACCAGTGCTGAGTCAGTCAGGCTTTGCTGCAACTTGACGATGCATGGGTGTGCGCCGTTTGTGTGTATGTGTGTGTGTGTGTACGCGTGCGCGTGTGTGAGTGTGTGTGTGTGTGCGCGCATGTGTGAGTATGTGTGTGTGTGTTAGGCCTTGGCGGATAATGCTCGTTAAGGTGGCAGATTCTGCTCGAAAAGCAGTGAAATTGGCAGAACCATACAAACCTTATGGCGGGCAATTCCTCAAATTCTGCTCCATTTCTTTATCCACATACCAAACATGCATGAAACTTACCCGAAAAAGTACCGAATTCTGCCAATTTTTTTGGCCGGCATTATCCGCCAAGGCCTAGTGTGTGTGTACGTGTGAGCGAATGTGATTCTGTGTGTGTGTGTGTTTTTACGAAATATGTGTGTGTGTACATGTGTGTGTGTGTGTGTACATGTGTGTGTAAGTGTGTTTGCGTGTGCGTGCGTTCATATGTGTGTATACATGTGTGTGTACGTGCATGTGTACGTCTGTGAATGCTTCTCCGTGTCTCCATGTCGTCGACACCTTGTGTGCTTCTATGGCAGGAGGGGCGTATGTGGTGGAGCTAGCAGACCAGCCTCACACCGACATGAGCGCAGAGCCTGCCAGTGCAGGACTGGTGAAGACTAATCGACTCAGTCGTGGCGCGTCCAATTCACGAGTTGTTCTATCCGCCAGCTTCATCCGCCGACAGAAACCGGTAGGTACCAGATTTCCCCGAAAATAAGTCCCATCTTTTACGCTCAACTTCATGGCCAACACAGGGGATATGACTTACAATCTAGCATGGCTTACTACTGTAGTGAATATTATATCAAAGCGATATGACATGGACGTGGAAAAAGGAGTCCAACTTACATTCGAGTACAACCTACAATTGGTTGGTTGGTTGGTTGGATTTATTTAAAGTCGTACAACAAACAGGCATATCTGCCTCCTTAGGCCGATTCCACACTACACCAAATCCTGCCTAAAAAGCCATTTTTCAGGCACTTTTCAGGCAAGTTGCCATGGCGATCACTTTGAGGAACGCGCGAAAGTGAAAAGTGCTTGTTGTCAACAAAGCAACACCAGCACCCTCTTTCAAGGCAACTTTTTACCTTTTCAGGACACTTTTCTGACTTTTCTTCAGCCTTTCGATTTTTTTCCGAATGTGTTCCCTGTCGTATCTTTCAGTTGTGGTGAGTTGTGAGCTGTCAACAATGCCTAGGGTCATGTTTAGCCAGGAGCTTGAGCGCAAGCTGATCGAGCTTTGGAGCGCACGTTTGAGGCGACCTCCGGGCGGTACAGTTCGCAGGAGCTACGCCGGAGGAGATCGCCATCAAGCTGAATTTGTTTGCTGAACAGCTCCGGGAGGAGGCAATCTATACTGCGTCGATCGTCCATTCCAAAATTGACAACATGAAAACGAAGGCGAAAGGACTGTACGAGACATACACAACGAAAACTGCCACCGGAATGCCTGTTGGCGAGGTTGACAAAATACTCGACCTATGATCTGGAATCCGCCTACACAGCGCGCGCTAGCGTGGTCAAATTTCAAGATTGGGCACGCGAAAATGGGTGATATTCGAGGATTTGGACCAACAAAGAGCCTCTCCACTACCGCCGGTGCTACATCAAGCACAGGAAAGCCTCACAGTCTACATGTACCTTCAAAGCAAAGTCCCGTGCTCGACACTTGTAGGTGTGAATGCAGCTTCACTTTATAAGCCACTTTATGCCTTCAAGGCAAAGCCACTTTCGGCGTAGTGTGGAATCGGCCTTATATGAAGACGACTTCTGGCAGTAAAACAATTAAAAAAGAAAAAGAAAAAAGAAAAGAAAGAAAGAAGAGATCAAGAATGTATAGACTGACCATACAGGTAGCCGGAGACTGAGCATACAGCTAGCCGGAGACTGAGCATACAGCTAGCCGGAGACTGAGCATACAGCTAGCCGGAGACTGAGCATACAGCTAGCCGGAGACTGAGCATACAGCTAGCCGGAGACTGAGCATACAGCTAGCCGGAGACTGAGCATACAGCTAGCCGGAGACTGAGCATACAGCTAGCCGGAGACTGAGCATACAGCTAGCCGGAGACTGAGCATACAGCTAGCCGGAGACTGAGCATACAGCTAGCCGGAGACTGAGCATACAGCTAGCCTTGGCATGCAATTGGGGGGATGTACGGTAGTTCTGATGCTCTTAGCTGCGGCATGCCATCAACACTCCAGTAACCCGTGGTCAAAGACTCGCTGCACAGCGCTGCACTAGGGCACTAGCGGCTCGCGCTGCGTACCTACTATGCACCCATTCGAAAAACTGCTAACCCATTTTGAGAATCCCGACGAAATCCTTCGCGTAACCTCTGCGCCGGGATGACAGCTACTCCATAACTCACGCGATGGTCCCTAGTTCGAGTCCTGGTCGTGGCAGTCAATTTCTCCTTCAGACTTTTCCCGTTTGCATCTTTCCCTTCAACATGTCACGGTCAATTTAAACTTGCTATGACTGTACTTGTGTGCGCTGTGTGTGTGTTTGTGCACGTGCATGCGTACGTGCATGCGTACGTGCCTGAGTGTGTGTGTGTGTGTCCGCGTACACGTGTGTGCGTACGTGCATGCGCGTGCGTGCGTGTGTGTGTGTTTACGTGCAGTTTGAAGCAGTATCTGTGGGTGGCAGTGGCACATCAGCGGCCAAAGTACTGAAGGGTCCAATGGCCACCACGGTTGTCAATGGCAGCACAGTGGTGTTCAATTGTGTTGTAGCTGGTAAGCTGTTGGTCCTAGTGGAAGCTAAGCTTTTGAATGCGTTGTGCGGTGTTGCCTGTCTGTGTCTACCTCTTGTGCATATGTGTGTGGTGGTGGCTGAGTATGTGCATGCGGATGTGTGTGTGTGTGTTTGTGTGCGTGCGTGCGTGTGCGTATGTGTGTTTTCGTGGATGGGTGCGTGCATCCATGTGTGTCTGTCCGTGCACATCTGCGTATGTGTGTGTCTGTGTGTGTCTGTGTGTGTGTGTGTGTTTGTCTGTTTGTACACTGTGCTTGTGTGTATCTAAAATATTACATAGACTGTGCGTGCACACACACATACGAGTTTCCGTGCCGCTGGCGTTGTGTGCTTGCCACTGCTCAGGCTCTCCGACTCCGAACGTCCGCTGGACGTGCACCCGTACCTCCAGCACCAAGGCAACGACAGCGTCACGATCATCGTCCTCCTTGTCACTAGCGAGCACTACCACGGCGGCAACGGGCGCTAGCAGCAGCCAGCTACTGGAAACAGGTGGTACCGTCAAGATCACCACAACTGAAGGTTAGAGAGGAAGGCAAAGAAATTCATTGAGATTGTAATTTCCTCTCTTTCTCATTCTCTTTTATGACTTGTGGAAACACAACGTTCTATGTATCAGTTTCCATCTGTCTGTCCGTCTGTCCGTCTGTCTTTCTGTATGTTTGAATTTATGTATGTATGTCCTTCTGTCGATCTTTCCGTACATCTGTCGGTCCGTCCATCTATCCTTTGTCTATCTGTCTGCCCATCCGTCTGCCTATCTGTCTGTCCGTCCTTCCGTCCTTCCGTCTGTCCATCCATCCGCTCTTCCGTCTGTGTGTCTGTGTGTCTGTCCCCTGTGTGGTGTCAGGATCTAGCCTGCTGGAGCTGAGTGGTGTTCAGTGCGCTGACAGTGGTATCTATACGTGTACCTCGCTTAACGCACACGGCACCGACTCGCGCTCCGCACGACTCACGGTTCAAGACGTGCCTGCACCGCCCACGTATATAGCCGTCAAGAAGGTACGTGTGGTGTGCTGTACGAGTTGAATCTCTAATGGGGGCACAGAGTCTAGCAAGAATCCACCGTTAACTCAAGAAACGTTTACAGGTCTTTTATTCCTTCTCCCCTCTGTACAGTAAAACCTGTAACTAAAGACCACCGTGACTAGCGACCAGCCTGGTACTACAGTACAACCTGTAACTAAAGACCACCGTGACTAGCGACCAGCCTGGTACTACAGTAAAACCTGTAACTAAAGACCACCGTGACTAGCGACCAGCCTGGTACTACAGTAAAACCTGTAACTAAAGACCACCGTGACTAGCCACCAGCCTGGTACTACAGTAAAACCTGTAACTAAAGACCACCGTGACTAGCGACCAGCCTGGTACTACAGTAAAACCTGTAACTAAAGACCACCGTGACTAGCGACCAGCCTGGTACTACAGTACAACCTGTAACTAAAGACCACCGTGACTAGCCACCAGCCTGGTACTACAGTAAAACCTGTAACTAAAGACCACCGTGACTAGCGACCAGCCTGGTACTACAGTAAAACCTGTAACTAAAGACCACCGTGACTAGCCACCAGCCTGGTACTACAGTAAAACCTGTAACTAATGACCACCGTGACTAGCGACCAGCCTGGTACTACAGTAAAACCTGTAACTAAAGACCACCGTGACTAGCGACCAGCCTGGTACTACAGTAAAACCTGTAACTAAAGACCACCGTGACTAGCGACCAGCCTGGTACTACAGTAAAACCTGTAACTAAAGACCACTGTGACTAGCGACCAGCCTGGTACTACAGTAAAACCTGTAACTAAAGACCACCGTGACTAGCGACCAGCCTGGTACTACAGTAAAACCTGTAACTAAAGACCACCGTGACTAGCCACCAGCCTGGTACTACAGTAAAACCTGTAACTAAAGACCACCGTGACTAGCCACCAGCCTGGTACTACAGTAAAACCTGTAACTAAAGACCACTGTGACTAGCGACCAGCCTGGTACTACAGTAAAACCTGTAACTAAAGACCACCGTGACTAGCGACCAGCCTGGTACTACAGTAAAACCTGTAACTAAAGACCACCGTGACTAGCCACCAGCCTGGTACTACAGTAAAACCTGTAACTAAAGACCACCGTGACTAGCGACCAGCCTGGTACTACAGTAAAACCTGTAACTAATGACCACCGTGACTAGCGACCAGCCTGGTACTACAGACCACTTTGCCAGGCATGGACGATCTCGCATTCATGATAATGGTTGTGCGTTGCAAACCTCTAGCTAAGGACCACCTGCCGCTAAAGACCGCTTTCCCTGGCCCCTTGAAAGGGGTGGTCGCTAGTCACAGGTTTCACTGTACTAGAGAAGAAGACATGGAGAGTGGACTGTCACATCTCCCCGCCCTTCCACTCCCCATTTTGCGATATTTATGTGGGAGACTTCCGTGATAAGCATCCATTTGCTTTTGGAGAATCCTTTTAAATAAATACAATACAATACAATACAATACAATACAATTTTGTTTCCTTTGGTGCACATGTGCAGCTGTGATGCCGAGACCCTTGGTCGGCTGAGCTTCACAGGTCCCACCCACTCCGTCCTGCTGAATATGTACCATTGTGTCGAGTTCTTCTCCTCATTTTAGTTCATCATGCAGTGAGTGTTCAATAGTAAAAAACAAACAAAAAACAAACAAAACATGACAGACTAAGTTATATGCCACACTGTGCATACCCCGGCCGTGTACATAACACACATACAGTCAGACCTCGCTTATCCCGTCCTCTTTTATCCGGATCCCTTCCCGTCCGGATGAAGACCGTTGGTTACCGATTTACAGCATATGTCATGCAAAACGCAGTATGTCGTATGGAGTCTACCTCCGGTTCGGACCCTCAGTAGTCTAGGGAGCGGGGAATTGAAACAAATATTCTTTCTCTTGACTACCATCTGATTATTTCTATCTCTTGACTGCTGTGTGATTGTGTTACTTGGGTGATGAATATAGGTAACGTCCACAAGTCTGGCGCTGGCTTGGAAATCTCCGGAATTCAACGGCAACAGTCCTGTCATGTCCTACAAGGTAAGAAATTTACTTGGTCCGCCCAGTTAAAATTGGCGCTTATTTTCACACTTGTCTCAGGAAAGAAATACGAATATTTGAAGAAAGCCACGATCACAAAGCACTATATACATCATTATTTACATGTCAGTAAGCAACTCAGTGGAAAATTCAAGCAAGTTACACATCCTCCTCGCCACTATCGTCGCTGGAGGAAGAGCTCAAAACGTACGATCCGGACAGCTGCTGCACGGGTCATTTCATAGCTTGTTCCACTTCTCCTCGTCTAGAATCACGCTCAAAGGCAGTGTGTGCCTGTCACCTTCCCATCAGAAGCTGAGTGAGACTGCCCGCATGTTGACTGTAAGTGTTATCCCCGTTCGTCGCAATAATGCGTCTTTGTTTGAGACAAAAGGCAACGCCATATCAGTGTCCTTTTTTTCAAATCGCCTCTTGCGCTTGTCGTACTTGCTGATCAGCACCCGTACCCACGCGAGCCGCTGGTGCTTGTAGATCTACATGCAGCGCAGTGATAGCTTCCGCTTGATGTAGCACCTCAGTGACCTGTGGGTACTGCACCTACAACGGCGTGCACCAGGCTTTTCGGCTAGTTTCCTGAAAGTCCTTTGCACGAGGGTTTCGCTCAGGACTTGGTGTTTTCTTTGATTAGCTCCTTTGCCCTGTCCTCTGTGAGCTTCAAAGTGTGTCCGCCGGATTGGTCTCACTTACTGGAGATATCGACATGAGCTGCAGTTTCTTCGTCAGCGATTTGCTGGTGATAGCCCCTCGCTAGGCGCTGTACTGTGCAAGGGGTAAACAATCCTTGCCATCAGACAACTGGAAGTAGACAGAAACTGTATTCTCCATCGCTCTGAAATGCGAACATCCTGACCTATTTTACGGACTCGAGCGGAGGTTGCAGTGTTTTCTTGCGCTGACGGAAGTGTTCGTCGGCGGCAGCTCCGTCAAAAAGACTCAAACAAGCCGATCGCAACTTCTGTGATGGTTTGTGCTGCCATGTCGTCGGATGCAATGGTCAATGGTTATGTTCGGATGGTGAATCGGTGATTCCATGCGTGTGGCACAGGCAGAACACAAAAAAACAAGTGAGAAGATAAGCGCCAATTTTAACTTGGCGGACCAAGTATTAAACATGTACTAATATAGGCCTTCAATTCCAAGATCTCCTTCGCTTTCTGTGTGCACACACGTATTCGCTCCTGTGTGTGTGTGTGTATGTGTGTGTCGGTGTGTGTATCTCTTCCTCTCTCATGTCTGTGCGTGTGCGTGTGTGTGCGTGTGTGTGTGTACGTGCGCGTGTGTGCCTGTGTATGCATAGGTTCAACTGATAGAGTGTGGTAAGACGCAGTGGCTGACCGTGCAGCGTGATGTCATAGACACGTTCTGCACCATTCGCGATTTATCTCCAGCCAAAATGTATCAGGTAATTACGATGAGTTCACAAAGAACGAAACAGCATGCTGTCCGCAGATTGAGTAGGTAATTACTATGTATATTTTAGGATACACACACAACAGAGGCGAAAGGCTGTGTTAGCTGTAACTTAAAGTTTCACGCATCGGAGCGATCATCAGACAGCAGCATTCACTATCGAATTCTCTACGAGCAGGCCTAGATATTTGATGCTAGTGTGGAAGTTAGTGCATTTGTGCGAAGTGAAGACGTGGCATTGGGACAATGGTATTGAGTTGTTTTGTATATTTTAGGATACGTATACCGAAATGTCGTGTATTCAAGCCGGACTTTTCCTGTAGAAGCCGATATCAGGGCTAGGCTTCTATTTAAACCACGTATCTCTATGTATGTCAACACTAAACCAGGTTTATAGTGAATCTTGAAAATCATGCTTGTATTTGAAACAGGCTTTAAACAAGACACTACGTATACCCACGGACCCATGCTAATTATTGGCTACAGTCGTGGACACAGAAATCCGTCCCGTTAGCCGACGACAGCAGAGCCAAGAAGAGAGTGATGGGAGCGCAAGTGCCTAACAGGATTAACTCTTGTGGACAAAGAAATCAGTCCCGTGAGCAGACAGCAGAGCCAAGAATGGGAGCGCAAGTGCCCAACGGGATAATCTGTTGTGGACAACGAAATTCGACACGTGAGCCGAAAGCACAGCCAAGGCGCCAGCAGCTCCTGCGGCCCTCGGATGGGTTTGTTGGACCGCGCAAACTGCATGATGTAAATGAAATGGAAATGCGGCGCTCCTTTGGACTCGCTGGTCGGATTTCTTAGGCCAGGCCTGTAGCTTTGTTAGGATCAGTGTGTAACTAACTTTACGCTGGTGGATGCTATGCACACCTTTGAGAGTCTTGAGTTGTCGTTGTCCTGTTCTCCTTTTCATTCTTGTCTACACTCTTGTTGAAATACTTTCCATATTCAATACTATAAACCCCTGTGTTCGGGTGTGAGGGGACTTCGTTTAGCCGGGAGCTAACAAAGGCGAAAGAAAAGGAAACGGGGAAAGAAAATTAGGAAACAATTTGGAATTGTGTTGCCACTGCTACCACCAGTACCTCCTGGACTTCATCACCACCTGCCGCGATGGCTACAAGACACGCACTGTCAGCTATGCTTGCAATGTTGTTCTTATAAAATTATTGTCTCCATGCTGATATTATGGTGAAAAAAGGAGGACAACATGTTACGAGTTATGACTAACTGTCCACCAACGTAACCAGATTTTATACAGTCAGCGAGTGCGACGAAATGGTTGGTGGGCAGTTAGTCATAACTCGTAACATTTTGTCCTCCTTTTTCACCATATTTAATTGGCTCACCATCCGAGTTAAACGATGCTGATATTAGTTTATTTATACTCTAATTTCAGAATTTTTCGCTGCTCAATATTTTCGGTATGAGGGCAAAAGGCCAGGTTAGGTGAACAGACAAGTTAGGTACTGAGAAGCAGTTCCCTATTGGATTATGCGTGTTAGTGTTTGTTCGGTGTATTGAAATTTTAGGTATGAAACAGATGCACCGAAAGTACCGAAAATAAAAGTACACAGAAAATTAGTGAAATTACAGTATTGTGTTTACTCGGTACTGTAAGCATTGTCAGTGCTGATTTGCCAACCCCGACACGTGTGTTCTCCTGTTCTCCAGGCGAGAGTGATTGCAGTGAACGCCGTCGGCAACAGTCGTCCGTCTGAGACTTCGGCACAGGTGCGCACGCACACGCGCACCAGCATGTTTGGCAGCAGCCGTGGCGACAGCAAGCAGACGATAAGTGTTGACGTCCCCACGACGACGACGATGGTGGGTGGTGGCAAGGAGGAAAGTGAGCCGCTTACTCCGGTACTCGACCCTATCGACCTGCACTATAAGATCGAAGGTAAGCAGACACACCCCCTGTCTGTGTACAATGTTTAGTCTAGCTCCAGGGGGGGGGGGGGGGAGGGGGGACAGGGGACCAGGGGGGGGGGGGGGGGGGGGGCAGGGGAAACGAGGGGACCAGGATGTCAAGGAGGACAGTCAGCCACTGACTCCGTTTAACGGTTACAAGACCCTATGGACCAGCACTACAAGATTGAAGGTAAGAAGACACACCCCCTGTCTGTGTACTGTGCAATGTTAGTCTAGCTCCAGGGGAGAAGGACCTGAAGGTAAAAAATGGCTAATATAATTATGACAGCACAGGTACAGGGATAGTATTCACAATGCTATTATGCAACAAGTTACAAGCTAGCACTTTTGTCTACCGGTAGGTTTTGACCATGTTGTTAGTTAAAATAGTCAGCTAAGTTCAAAGGTGATTTTCGCTACCTATTGTGAATGCTTCAACGCCGCTCACTGAAATCCCCGATCGAGTTACTGAAGTACACGTCGGGTGTTGCGCATCCCTAGACCAGCGAACACTGGACGCCGAGACGATGCAAGGCGCAAACTTGAGTGCTCGTGCCGAACGCTCATTGAGCAGCGCTGTAGTTGACAATGATCACTTGAATTCTCTTATTGGCCACAGGTCATTGTGAGAATAAAAGATTTAAAAAAAAATTCACTTGTGTGTGTGCGCTGGTGGTGTGTTTGTGCACTGGTGGTGTGTGTGTGCGTAGGTGACCTGGGTCGTGGTCGGTTCGGCGTGGTCAGACGCTGCGTGGAGCGCTCCACCTCACAACGCTACGCCTACAAGCAGATCCGCGTGGTGGGCGGTCGGCAGAGTCGCGCCGAAGTCTACTCGGAGGCGGAGATCCTACAGAGCGTTCGGCACGAGCACGTCATCAGATACCATCAGATGTTCGAGACGCGTCGCAGCATGATTCTCATCTTAGAGCTCGTCGACGGACCAAATCTCTTGACGTGGATGTCTGAGATCGTTGCCAAGGGCGCGTCAGCTGGCGAATCATCATCGTCAAGTGGCAGCGGGACTCGTAGTGGTGGCTCGTCGCGTAGCGTAAGTCGTTCGTCTTCCCTCAAGTCGCAGGGTGGTGGTTCTGGAAGTGGAGCAGCGGTCAGCCCTGGTGGTGGTGCTCAGGGGACTGTTGCGTCGGCGCGCTTCAGCGAGACCGTGCTAGTGCACTGCATCAAGCAGGTACGTACGTGTGTGTGTGTGTGGGGGGGGGGAGGTGTTTGTGTGTATGTGCGTGTGTGTGTACATGTGTGTGTGTGTCCGTGTGTGTGTGCGCATGCGTGCGCATGCGTGCACGCGCATGCGTGCGTGCGTGCGTGCGTGCGTGCGTGCGTGTGTGTGTGTGTGTGTGTGTGTGTGTGTGTCGGTGCACGTGTGTGTGTGTTTCGGTGAGGTTTTGGTAGGCTGACTTGACATGCGTGCATGCATGTGTGTTTGAGCTAGTTGGGCATGTGAGTGTGAGCGGGTGCACTTGTGTATGCATGTTAATATCAGTGTAGGACTGGTGCATCGTGCACGGACTAGGACTGGTGCATCGTGCACGGACTAGGACTGGTGCATCGTGCACGGTCTAGGACTGGTGCATCGTGCCCGGTCTAGGACTGGTGCATCGTGCACGGACTAGGACTGGTGCATCGTGCACGGACTAGGACTGGTGCATCGTGCACGGTCTAGGACTGGTGCATCGTGCCCGGTCTAGGACTGGTGCATCGTGCACGGACTAGGACTGGTGCATCGTGCACGGACTAGGACTGGTGCATCGTGCACGGTCTAGGACTGGTGCATCGTGCCCGGTCTAGGACTGGTGCATCGTGCACGGACTAGGACTGGTGCATCGTGCACGGACTAGGACTGGTGCATCGTGCCCGGTCTAGGACTGGTGCATCGTGCACGGACTAGGACTGGTGCATCGTGCACGGACTAGGACTGGTGCATCGTGCCCGGTCTAGGACTGGTGCATCATGCACGGACTAGGACTGGTGCATCGTGCACGGACTAGGACTGGTGCATCGTGCACGGACTAGGACTGGTGCATCGTGCACGGACTAGGACTGGTGCATCGTGCACGGACTAGGACTGGTGCATCGTGCACGGACTAGGACTGGTGCATCGTGCACGGACTAGGACTGGTGCATCGTGCACGGACTAGGACTGGTGCATCGTGCCCGGTCTAGGACTGGTGCATCGTGCACGGACTAGGACTGGTGCATCGTGCACGGACTAGGACTGGTGCATCGTGCACGGACTAGGACTGGTGCATCGTGCACGGACTAGGACTGGTGCATCGTGCACGGACTAGGACTGGTGCATCGTGCACGGACTAGGACTGGTGCATCGTGCCCGGTCTAGGACTGGTGCATCGTGCACGGACTAGGACTGGTGCATCGTGCACGGACTAGGACTGGTGCATTGTGCCCGGTCTAGGACTGGTGCATCGTGCACGGACTAGGACTGGTGCATCGTGCACGGACTAGGACTGGTGCATCGTGCACGGACTAGGACTGGTGCATCGTGCACGGACTAGGACTGGTGCATCGTGCACGGACTAGGACTGGTGCATCGTGCACGGACTAGGACTGGTGCATCGTGCCCGGTCTAGGACTGGTGCATCGTGCACGGACTAGGACTGGTGCATCGTGCACGGACTAGGACTGGTGCATTGTGCCCGGTCTAGGACTGGTGCATCGTGCACGGACTAGGACTGGTGCATCGTGCACGGACTAGGACTGGTGCATCGTGCACGGACTAGGACTGGTGCATCGTGCACGGACTAGGACTGGTGCATCGTGCACGGACTAGGACTGGTGCATCGTGCACGGACTAGGACTGGTGCATCGTGCACGGACGCACATACACACCTTTTAAAGTATCTAGAGAAAAATATCAGCATATTGTTGTTGATGATGGTGGTGGTGGTGATGATGGTGGTGGTGGTGCTGCTGCTGCTGCTTCTGTCACCGGTGTCATCGTTATCGTCGTCATTGTTCCTATCGTCATCGTTCCTATTGTGGTTGTTACAGGTTCTCTCTGCTCTGTCCTACCTTCACTCGCACTCCATTCTCCATCTGGACATCAAACCTGACAACCTACTCACGGTGAGAGGCTCGGCAGATAGTGCTACGACAACGCCCACCACAACTGCCGTCCCGACACTCGGGAGCGTTTCCGTGCCAACCATCAAGCTTATCGACTTTGGGTCGGCACGGCGACAGGAGCCCAAGAAGGAGGTGAGTGTCGTATCTCTGGCACTGTTTAAAAGTATGCGACAATTTCGATAACAAAGGTGTTTCAGAAAATCGGAATCGGAATTGGAATTGGAATGCTTTGCCCGCTTTGCCCGTGTTTCCTCTTACGTTTCTGGAGACGTTTACTGCTCCCCCCCCCTCACACACACACACACACGCACACGCACACGCCCCCCCCCCCCCCCCCACAGACACACACGGGCCCTGGTGCACCAGTGTCTTTGCCCAACAGAGCTTTCAAGGACGGACCAAAGGTCACTTTTTTGTGATCGTGTGCGAGAAATTATTGAATGGCTTGTGAATAAGCAAAGCCCAGGTCACATTCAATTTGTACGGGAATGGACACACGGAGGTGAAATATACAAGTACTGTATGTTTGTGCTGTAGGTTCGTATGTGGTCGCGCTCGTCCAGGCATGAGTTTTCATCACCGGAGGCCGTCAACTATGAGCCACTTAACCCAGCGTCAGACATGTGGAGCGTCGGTGTTGTTACCCATCTCCTCCTCACCGGTACGTTTGTCTGCGTGCGTGTGTGTGTGTGTGTGTGTGTTTGGAGAGGGCGTGATGCATGTTACACGTGCACGCCTAAACACCTATGCGCATGTGTATGTGTCTGTGTATGTGTACCGTATTATCTCTAATATAAGCACAGTCTCCAATAATAGCACGTCTCCAATAATAGAACACCTTGGGGCGGCATTCGAAAAATAAAGTGCTCAGTCTCCATTATAAGCACACTGTGTAAATTCATTATCTGAGCTGTACCGGCGAAAAAAACCCTGAAATGTGTGTGTCATACATGAATTCGGCATGGCAGCATGCCTCTGAAATGAGGTTGAAATAATAATGGAACAGTCTCCAATAAAGGAACGTCTCCATTAATAGCACGGGGCGGAGGTACATTGAAAAAATAAAGGACCGTGCTTATATTAGAGATAATACGGTTTGTGTCTGTGTACACCTAAACACTTATGCGTATGCGTATGTATATGTGTATGTGTTTGCGTCTGCGTATGCGTATGTGCAGGCACATCTCCTTTCCTGCATGGCGATTATGCCGAGATAACCAGTGCCGTGCAGCGCGGGTTGACTATCGCCGACGAGACCTTCTCCGGAGTGTCCCAGGACGGCAAGGCCTTCGTGCAGCAGCTGATGCACCGCAGCGTGAAGAACCGCCTGAGCGCGGAGCAGAGCGCCACGCATCCATGGATTCGGCATGGTCTGGCCGCGAAAATACCCGCCGTGTCCACGTCGCATCAGCAACGGGTTGCTAAGCGACTCGGCGATTACATCGTCGAGCGCACGGCCGACTCACAGTACGAGCACCGAACGCTGCGATCGATGAGCGCTCTAACCCAGTCCAATGTCAGCTTGACGTCCATATCTTCACTGGAGGAGCAGAACTATGCCACAGTCGGTGAGATCTTGTTGTGCACGTGCCCCCGCCCCGTGCCCCATGCAGGCTACGTGCCTGCATGCCCTATGATTCGCATGAACACAGGCTTAGAGTCACCAGGACCAATGCATTGTACAGTGAATTTTGCATATAACGACACTCGGCGGAGCATCAGAAAAGTGTCCTTATTCGCGAAGTGTCGTTATACCCAAAGTCTCATTATATGCATACAGGTAGATAGGAATTTGCTGTGGGCATGGAAATTCTGTCGTTATATCCAAAGTCGTTATTAGCCAAGTTGACTGTATCTTCTTTTTGTCATCCGCTGTGGTTGTCGATTGCAATAAACCCATTGCGCAATGATGTACACGGTCACTTGTACCATCAACACCGCCGCTCAGCCACCACAGTCGCATTAGGTGTTGAACAGTGCATTCCTGACCCCAGCCTACTCACATGCCGCCTTACTCATATCTTCTATTTTTGGCAATGGACGTATATGTATGTGTGCGCAATGGGCTTATAATGATCGTTGGCCTTGGTTATGTGTGCGTGCGTGTGTGCGTGCGTGTGTGTGTGTGCATGTGTGTGTACAGGCATTCGCCACCCCAAGCCAGGACAACATCCACATCATCATCGTAGTCTGGTGCAGCAGCACTCCGGCGCGGACAGCAGCTCGTCGTCGCGACCTCACTCCCAGGCGTCGGCGAGCATGTCGGCGCCGAGGCTGACGTCCGTACCGCTGGACGCCAGCGTGGCGGAGAGCGGAGTAGTGCACTTCCAGTGCGTGGTCACTGCCGTGCCGGAGGCCATTATTCGATGGCAGAAAGACGGCGGCCCTCCGCTGGTGCACTCCGCTGCCGGGAGGCATGCAGGTAAGGGAATCTACAATGTACCTCTGCATCACCCCTGTAGAGTGCTGTCGGGCGCCTAAGAACTGGGAGGGGGTTAGCCTCCTAGCCTAGACCGTTCTTATTTTCATGTATTACAGTCTATGCACAGTTGAGTCACCGTGTTTACATTGGTATGCTGTGCTTGGTGAAATTCTAGCCTGGTCGTTCTTCGGCGCTCCGTTCTTCGGCGCTCGGCAGTACTCTACAGGGATGAATTTACTGTCGTGTGTTTGCATAGCAGTTTTTGCTGTGCAAAATCTCAGTTGTGGCGTAAGCTACGAAAAGCATGGATAGCCTGTATGTGTACAATGTATGTATGGCAGGTTTCTGCGTGTCACTGTGATTTTTGAGTAGCAGTAGATCGATTTTGCGTAGCAAACTGCGATGCGATACCGGATAAACTCATCCCTGCTCTATTATTTATTACTACTAATACAGTGGTCCCTCTATAATCCGGCACCATTTGTGCCACGAAAATCTGCTGGATTAGGGAGGGTGCTGGATTAACAAATCTGATTTACTGCTGCAATGTACATGAAGAGGAGATTTTGGCTACTGAAAATTGTGCTGGTTTATCGAGGGTGCTGGATTATAAAGTGCCGGATTAGAGAGGGACGACTGTATCAGCCTTTTCGCGTTGACATCGCCAAGCCGCAAGCGAGTACCGTATACATGAACAAATTGAACAAGTTGACATTTCACGTGCGCGTGTGTGTGTGTGTGTGTGTGTGTGTGTTTGAGGACTGTCTTGATATGTTCCTGTGTTGCCTGGACATGTATGTATTTGTTGTGGTCACATCTCGGCTATCAGTACATGCACATCCTGCCTCTCAACTCACTGCAACTTCATCATCGGTCCGCGTCCATCGTCCTCGTTGTCTATTCTGTTCTCCTTCTGCTTGTGTGTGTGTGTGTGTGTAGCTGCGGGCCAGGCGACAGTGACCATACAGATGCACGGAGAGGTGTATACGCTACAGCTGAGTAACGTCACAGCAGCGGATGCTGGTGAGTGCGGATAGCAGCGTGTGCACGGCCGAGGAATTTCCATACCATCAATGGGCGTCACAGGGCATTGTGGAGTGGTACGACTGGGGGTGGGGGTCCCCGGGGGGATTTTCGGCCAACAGGGCACATTTTAGCGGACCATCCTGGACGAAAAGTGGTACGATCATGGTCATACTGGTCGTACGGTGTGTGACGCCCCTGTCATTGTTACCCTGGACACCGACACACAGACTACATACCTGTCATGGCATGTCAATGAGACGAGTGTTGGCGTTCACGAGGCGCTGCGCGTGTGTGTAACAGCACTGTTTTTTCGCCGTGTGCGCCTGCATGCCTCCTTGCTCGTGTGTGTGTGTGTGTTCATATGTGTGCATGTGTGTATGTGTGTGTGCATGTACATGTGTGTTTGTGTGTGTATGTATGTTCTTGCCGCTGTTTGTCCTAGGTACATACATGGTAACAGCCACTAATCCGGTTGGCAGTGCCAGCGCAAGTGCAAGACTGGTTGTCGGCCAGCAGAATACAACACCACAATACCCTACGGCCAAGGCTGTAAGAGATTGAGAAAAACGTTTGTCTGTCTGTCTGTCTGTCTGTCTGTCTGTCTGTCTGTCTGTCTGTCTGTCTGTCTGTCTGTCTGTCTGTCTGTCTGTCTGTCTGTACGTACGTACGTATATATGTATGTATGTATTTCATGATCAGGATGTATGTATGTACATGTATGTATGTATGGTCGAAATGTGATGGCTACTGCCTTGCAAACTATGGCGCAGTGAATGAAACATGTTTACAAGTCTGTCGGGTGAGGAGGCGTGCCTGCTTTCTAGATCTGCATGGCATCAAGAAGGACTATTGAAAGAGCCGATGTTTTTTTCAGAAATGACATTGTCGATGCGATCTATTACCCGATCCCCTGCTCCCATCCTCTACCCGGCCCCATCTCCCTGCCGCGCACTATACCTTCCTTAGTTTCTCTTCCTCCAAGCTACGTGTACAAGCATGTACATGTGCAACCTCTCTTCACCGCGGCTCACATGCACTAGATGACAATTAGAAAAGAATAATAATAAAAAGTGAAAGAGCAAATAGAGAAAAGGGAAGGACAAAGAGCCGGTCGTTCAGACTCTACATCGTCCCTGCCTGGGCACTAGGGTGTATCTGATGACAGACAAAAGAAAACTGTGTTGTTGATGATTGAAGTACTTATATGTCATGTATACCCTCTACTCACCCCCCCCCCCCACCCCGAACCACAGGTCGGAGATTTCTCGGCACAGATCAAGTGGTTACCCCCTCCACCAGCACCTGCACCAGCACCGGTGGCTCAGCCGGGGACGGCGGCGGCACAGCAGCAGTCCTCGCCCTCACGCCCTGTCATAGCCTACCGTATCCAGCGGTGCCGCGCCGACCACGAGCTGTGGGAGACGGCCGCGTACGTCGTGTGCCGCACGCCCGACGGCAAGCCCACGCCGAACATGGCGCTGCTGCTGACGAACAGCGGCGGAGGTGGTGGTAGTGGCGGTGGCCATAGCAACAACAGGGAGAACAGGGAGGTGATGACGTGGACGGTGCGCGGACTGCTGCCGCTGGTCAGCTATCAGTTCCGCGTCAAGCCGCTGTATCCAGATCGACCGGGGCAGGTACGTACCTTTGTGCACGTGTCACGATTCGCGTGTTATTTAAGTAGTACCGACAAAGTCCTAGGAACACACTAAAATCTTCTGAACCAAAAGAAGATTTTCAGAAGATTTTTGCTGTGTTTGCTGTGTTCTTTTAGACTGGTGTGGACACCCTAGGTGCATAGACTTCAGATGAAAATTGGGAGCACTTCCTGTTTGTTTTATAGTCCTGAGAGCACACATATTCACGAGATGCAATCGCATTCCGTGTGCTGGTGAATCCTAGAAGTACTTGTACTTGTGTGCGACCGAAAACCTGGCGAATTTCCTTGATTGTAAGTCGCACGTCCAGTTTCAGGTGCCGTGACCGGGGAGTGGGCCAGACATACGAGTCCCTGTTCATGTACTATCAGAAAGTGGTGGACATCACGCAACTGCATTGTAAATAAAAGGGGGTATGTCAACTGACAGGATTCTCGATTCTCAGGGTCTTTAAATGAAAAGGGGTTTGTCAACTGACAACCGCTTCGTTCAATTGCAATTCACTCTTGGTGTATGTGCTGGATGAAAAATTCTTATAAAAGGCCAGGTTGGCCCCTTGTAAATTGTTCTGACGATGGGTGACTGGCCCCGAAACGTCATAATTTTTTTCGACGTTACGAATAAAAGAATTTTTCATCCAGCGCATGCGCCAAGAGTGAATTGCAACTGAACAGAGCGCTTGTCAGTTGACAAACCCCCTTTTATTTACAATGCAGTTGCGCGATGTCCACCACTTTCTGAGCTCAGGTTCTTTAGGGAAGGAAATACACCAAGAGTGCAGATACCCATTCTTCACCCTAATCACACAAGAAGACCAAAGTTTGACTTCAGAGCCAAGTTCCAAGTGCAAGCAACAGAACAGCAGCAACAACAAGCAATCGATGCAAAGCATCGACCTATATACTGCAAGTAGTAGTGTGCAAGGAGCGAAGTGAACAGCCAGCAAGCAAGCAAAGCATGAATAGTGAGAGTTCGACTTAACAACGCTATTCATTGACGAGACTCGTCGACACCACGGCAAATACTTGATAGCGATAGGAGCAGAAATACAATACAGATAATGTAGCAACACTCGGACACGACACCTAATGAGCTTGCCATCGCTCTTCCTGCTTCGCCCGCCGCCGGTGGGAACAGGATTTCTTCTCCGGTGCGGCGTGTGAAGACTCCTCGCCTTCCCGTCACTGCTTCTGGGGAGGGGAAATGTTCCTCCTTGTTATCGGAAGGGAATTCCCAGTCCCGCCGGCATCTGCACCGACAAAGGAGGAGAAGAAGCCCTCCGATGATCGCTGTAACCGAACTAGCTCACCACGCAACCTCCGCAGCACTGTGGCAGGCCGTTCACGACCGTTGGCCTCCAAGGCCGCCGCTCCATCGCGGAGCGCCCTCCGAAATTTTTTTGCTTGGCAATTGCTAGTTTCCGCTATCTAGCCGTCCTTAGTTAAATGGTGGGCAGACCCTGTTCACTGCGCCAACTGTGGCAACCGGGTTTTTCACTTGGAACGTTCAGCCCCAATGTACGACTACTGCCCAACCACTGGCACACACAATAAGGTCACCGTAACCGATAGGACGTTTATTGTAGCGAACAAGAAGAAGGGGAAACGAGAAGTGTCACTAGCAGCCACGAACACATCCTCTTCTAGGCCAGCTAAAGAAAGGAGAGCAAACATCGGCGCGAGTTACAGTGTACGAGCAAACGGCCATGCCAGCTGAAGAGTAGATACTCTAGTAATGCAAAATACGGAGTGCAACCGCAATAGCACGGGCGATAGCGTTAGGTCCGACTGTTGCCATCAGAGGGAATAGCTTGCCACTGCTTTTTCTGCTTCGCTCGCCGTCGGTGGGAACAGGATTTCTTCTCTGGTGCGACGTGTGAAGACTCCTCGCCTTCCAGTCACTGCTTCTGGGGAGGGGGAACGTTCCTCCTTGTTATCGGAAGAGAATTCCCAGTCCTACCAGCATCTTCACTGACAAAGGAGGAGAAGAAGCCCTCCGATGATCGCTGTAACCGAACTAGCTCACCACGCAACCTCCGCAGCACTGTGGCAGGCCGTTCACGACCGTTGGCCTCCAAGGCCGCCGCTCCATGGCGGGGCGCCCTCCAAACTTCTTCCGCTTGGCAACTATAATTTGTCGCCATCTAGCCGTCCTTAGGTGATGGGTAGAGGGAATAGTACGGACGTACACGTGCACGTGACCGTAACAACGATAGCAGGTGATGAGTATGAATATGTCGCGCTATCACTTGTCAGGGGAGAGGCAAGATGATGATGCTGGCGGAGTTGATCAATGCATTACTTCTGGTACATAAAAGAGTACCGTAAAAGGCATACCGTATTTCCGCGCATATTAAGCCATGGCGTTATATCCGAATATAAGGCCACCCTCACTTATAAAGCCATGGCGTTATAAGTGAACAAGATTCAATGTGGAGGAAGTTGCATCCGGCGTTAAAGGCGAGTTCAATTCTTTCAGGGAACCTACAGTAGCTGTGATTCTCTCTGCATGTACCCATCCCCACTGTCACATGCCATACCACCACCGCACCTTCACACAAGTTTGTATGCCACCTTGTACACAATAGGTTCACAATTTGAAATTTTCAGGGAAAATTGAAAGTATATGGATGCTCGACATGAAAGTGCAACGGCACCATACGAGTACTCGAAGTTCATACTCTGCCGAATTTTTCATGTAAGCGTCTCTCACTTTTAGCGCCATGGCGTTAAAACCGAGGCTATTTTCTCCAAAAATTTGGTCCAAAACAGCGATTTTTCACCTATAACGCCATGGCTTTATATGCGCGGAAATACGGTAATAACGAAGTGCTAACTCTAACGAGTTAGTGAGGAGAAATCTGTCGTTAAAATAGAAATCGTTATCCAGAAGTCGATACATGTACTGTCCTATTGAGCGTTGAGAATGAGTGAGATCGTTACCTTTGTACACGTAAACTAGTCAATTTTGGGAAATCGTTATAATATGCGCCTCGTTAGAATAATGGCTTTTGCAGTATCAGGGGAGTAGCAGCCGGTGCGGCCGGTCCGGCTTTGGATGGACCACTTTTCGCCCAGAAGTGCCCAGAATGCAGGATTTTGGACCCGAATTTCAAAACATTTCCGGGGGGGACGCCCCAGACCCCTCCCCCCCCCCCCCTCCCTCCAACCGGACCACCTCCAACGGCGTTGCTACGCGCCTGAGTATACGTTAGATAAGCGCTGTTAGGACAGCTCTGCATGCCCTGGAGTATGCATTATGTTCGCAGGCAACCCGCCAACCGTATAACATGCATCTGGTCATTTTTTGATTGAGTTTTATTTCACGGATCCTCCAGAGGCAAATAGACGCCTATCGAAGGGAGTCTCTTAAGTATGTATGGAAAATGAGAAAGTATGTTCGTAGGGGAGAAGAGGTAGAAGATACATTAGAATATAGAGTACAGAAGAAGTAAATTCAGTACTTCGGGTAGTACATTGCATGCTAATCATAATGAGAATTAGAAAAGCAGCATTGCGGACTACTATAACTGACATATACACAAACTATTGAAACTAACATACAAGTGGTTACTACGCCACTGGTTAGCCTAGACACAAAGTCAGGAATACCTTTCAAAGAAAACATAGATTGCGAATGATACCGACGAACAGCAATACTAAATTTCGCTGTTGTAGATTGTGAGCGAATATCTTCAGGAAGTTTATTCCAAGCAACACTCAAAGAAAAAAGGGTTGATTTATGAAAGTAGGTGCCAGCTTCAGGAAGAATTATGGATGAGTCGAAAAATAGCAAAAGTCACCGTTTCAGCCTTGTCAGATATGACACAGGTCTCTGTTGTCTAGTTCATGTGCTCACGCTGGTGCTGATTAGGCCCAGTTAATAGAGAGGTTAAAATGCACGTTACTTCCGATGTGATGTGCAATTTCACGTCAAATTTGGCGTAAAACTCCAAATTTCTACGTTAGCTGCAGGTCACTCGCATTGTTTTTTGACGCGCGAGCAAAAAAACGCGAGCTGAACTTTCGCGTCACATCAGAAATAACGTTCATCTTAGCCTCTCTATTGTCTCAACCCCCCCCCCCCCCCCCACACACACACTTCAGACTTGGGGTTTAGTGTACAAAAAAGTGTTATCTATATAGTAGACTATATTCAATGAAATATGGTCCATGTGTTAGGCCCAGTTAATGCCCCCCCCCCCCCCCCCGGCACTTCAGACTTGGGTTTACTGTACAAAAAAAGTGTGATCTATAATAGACTATATTTTAAGAAGTATGGTCCATGTGTTTGCTATAAAGCTAAAAAGGTCAGCAGGCACTGTCCAGTGCCAGTGGAACAACACGGATGTAACTACCATATTTTCCACGATGTTAGGTGCACTTTGAAATGCATCAGAAAAACTCAGAAATCCTGCGGCTAAGACTCCGAATGCTGTACATGTGGGTGTGTGTACATGTGTGTGTGTGTGTGTGTGTGTGTGTGTGTGTGTGTGTGTGTGTGTGTGTGTGTGTGTGTGAGTGTGTGTGTGTGTGTGTGTGTGTGTGTGTGTGTGTGTGTGTGTGTGTGTGTGTGTGTGTTCTTTTCATATTTTTAGCCTTCCTCCGTATCCCAGATAGTAACCATACCGGCTGTGGATGCGTCCTCTCCTACATCTACCAGTGCTACCAAGACTGGTGCTGGCGGTGAGCAACAGACTGATTGTGTGTGTGTGTGCGTGTGTGCGTGTGTGGCTGTCGATTTATCAGTCTTGCAAACTGTTGAATGGTCTTATTCCAGTATAGCTACCGCTATGTCTAACATAGCTTGTTGGCTATCATCACCTCAGCGATGGACATGTGAAAGTGAAAATGTGCGTGTGTGTGTCCTTGCGTATGTGTGCGTGCGTCCTTGCGTATGTGTATATGTGTGTGTGTGTCCGGTACGTGTGTGTGTGTCTGTGTGTATGTTGCTTTTCAGGTCGCTATCCACTCCTGAAGAACCAGTACGACTTGATTAGTGAAATTGGCCGTGGTCGTTTCTGCAAAGTCTGGTCTGCTCGTCGCGTTCTAGGTACGTCTTCGCAGAGCTCAACTTCCCAGCCAGTCATCGACCGGGGTTCCGCTGTCTTTGCTTCTGTGGGAGTTTTTGCATTTATAATACTATGATCATTGGCGAGTACTTCTTGGATAGACCAGAGTAGTTACTTAAGTTTTAAATTTATTGAATTAATTTTAAAACCTCGGACTGGGCAGCTGTTTGTATTTTGATCCTATTATAATGTCATTACATGTGACTGGGATTCGTCCCGACATGTGACTACGACTCATGTTTACACGTGACTATGACTCATGTTTACATGTGACTGAGATTCGTCCCGACATGTGACTATGACTCATGTTTACATGTGACTATGACTCATGTTTACACGTGACTATGACTCATGTTTACACGTGACTACAACTCGCCCTTGTGGCCTTGTCTGTGACTATGACTTGTGTGTGCGGGTGCGTGGGCATAATGCACTCGTGTGTTTGTGTGTTCGTGCTGCTGCTGCTGCCGCCACCCCCGCCGCCGCTGCTGCTGTTGTTGCTCCCCTTAGATGTAGCAACAGTGCAGATAGCAGCCACACAGCCCGACACCATTGCACTGGTGACAAGTACTTCCTCCTCTTCTTCCTCACCGTCCTCATCGCCATCATCGTCCTCATCCTTACCATCGTTATCCTCCGCTCCAGCGAGCAATGGCGAAGCTAGTGAACACGTCGAGGTGAGCCATTCTAGTGTTGCGCAGTGCTGGCTTTGAGTTTGGCATGGCCTGCCAGCTATAGCTTGTTTGGCATGGCCTGCCAGCTATAGCTTGTTGGGCATGGTCTGCCAGCTATAGCTTGTTTGGCATGGCCTGCCAGCTATAGCTTGTTTGGCATGGCCTGCCAGCTATAGCTTGTTTGGCATGGCCTGCCAGCTATAGCTTGTTTCAAACGGTATACACCTCTGGTTTCGAAAAACCGTTAGGCCACTAGCATCTAACATTATACCACATAAAATCTGTGATTGCTTTATGCATAAAAAATCTGAATTTGGTTGTTCGTTATCCAATCGCCTAGAAATCCGTAATTATGAGAAAAACTGGGGGAATTGCCTGAGCAATATCCCGAATAAATTCCTCAAAAAAACTCCAACCAAATGAATTATTTGAAAACGTCTATAGAGGTCTATACTTTTGAAACGCACTTTAGACCCTAAAATCTCCTGCACACGAATCTCTGCAGACAGCAGAGTGTACTTCGACTTGGTATACTACAGCACTCCGTTCAATGAAATCACTGCTAGAAACACGCAACAAGAAAAGAACTGCGCCTAGTTCCACAATAATAGTGGTAGATTTACAAAACAAAAAAATTAAAGGCTCGCGTGAGACTCGGCCAAAGGCCCAGTTTTCCGCATCTGCAGGAACGCCACCACCCTCTTGGATCAAGGCGCAGATGCAGCTCCTAAGCGGATCTACAAGATGTACAAGTACAAGGAAGAAATACTGGTAGCCAGTCTTTTTCCAGCATAACTAACTGTTACTTGTACAACAGCAGCATCATAGAGTCTAGAGCATAACACAAGACACAGTACTGGAGCGTAACCCAGCACAGCGTAGCAATACCATTACTAGTAGGATCAGCGCGAAACAACATTGAACGTGATCGAAACATTTGCACAGTTGGAAAAATTTGCAGCGACATTTCTCCAACCAAGAGCCTGGTTATCAGCAGAAGTAGTAGCACTAGATGTAGAAGGGGCTTGCACAAGATCACGCCTAGTTGTCTGATTCTCATCAGAAGAAGCTAGCTCAGACGGAGCATGCATAAGGTCACAGCCAGAACGTACGGCAACAGCGGCTGCAGCAACAGGCTCAGCAGGCACACTGGGCACCGTGGATGTATGTAGGGGAGGACGAGGATTTGCATAATCGGGCTTGCTCACCTGTGTGTTCTTGGCGCTTTCATCCAATATAGCTGCCATGGCTGACTTCTCGGATTTGGACGGTACAGCGTAGGCCTGGAGACTGGTTGCGTTGCCGGTCACGCTCATAGTAGCTCGGTCATATATGCCGGAACGTTGCAGCAATGTCACGGCAGTTGCACGGACGCAGTGATTGGTGTACCGGGTCGACAGGTCACACACCGTCGATATCTTGATCATCATGGTACTGAGAGTAGTCTTACCCAATGGGGCATTTTCGTACCACACTGGGTCTCCTTTCGTGATGCGATCCTCGGTCTTCGGCCTTTGGAAGAGTTCGTCCCTGGTGGGATTCAGTTTTAGCAGGAGGCGATCGATTGAGAGGACTTGGTCAGGTTCTTGAATTCGTCCAGCATTTCCTGGAGTTCTGCTGTCGTTAACCCCTCCGGGATGGTTCTTGGTCGAAAAGTCGATATTCAGCTCATAGAATGGTTTGCCATCCTCATCAAACTTTCTCACCGGGTCTCGTTTCGTGAGGCGGCGCTTGTAGCTCTCGTCCGCGTAGTCTCAACATAGCGTGATTGAAAACCACACGTGCAGGTTGAGGTTCTCGGGCGTTTTAGAACGTAGGAAATAGAGCCTTATCTTCTCAAGATCACCATCACTGATAACGTCCTTGTGCGCCACTGGTTTCAGGTCTCCTTCCCTCTTCAGGACCTACAGCTTTCCGTCGAGTGCAGCGTTTGCTCGGTGGAAAGCCACGTCGTTGATAATATCAATTCCGCGCTCATCGCGCAGCTTTCTAAACAATGCCGATCTGAGGCCCAGTAGACTGGTCCGTTGATAACACTGCTCGTCCTGGCGATGAGACCCTACGTAGAGAGCCGCCAGGAACTCGCTGAGTTCAGCTTTGGTCGAGGTCTCCCAAGAGAATTCTTTTTTTGTGGTACGTACCACGGAAAGCATCTGCCACCTTGAACCAAGAGTTGGTGGACTTCTTCGAACTTTCTGGGACTCGAGCGCTAATTACTTACTGATTTAACATGTTCTTCCGAAACCGGTAGAAATCTCTTGGAAGAAGGCTCCATCCTCACAGCAGGTACGACTCACAAAAACTACCTCCCATCAACTGACACTATGTCTACATCTACTACTAGTAGTAAGTTTTTACTTCCACTTCTTTCTTCAAAACCCGCGCGACTTTTCATATTGTTGGCTACCACCCGTTGCCACTTGACCACGGGCATTATTGTCAATCATACCTGAAGTGACGTCAGTGTTGCCAAGGGCAGCGGGCATGCTGGCTCAATCATGCCCGTGGCGGGAAAGGTGGTGATTGGACAACTCCTAGGATACGGGCACGTGTCATGTAAGAAATGCTATTTGATGCGCACTACTGTTTCGAGAACACTACATTTATGCAAAACCAGCGAAAAGGACGTGATGAACACGAAGACTGAAAAGACAAGAGACTCAGGACTCACAAATCACGCATGCTCGTATCACACGCATACTCGAGACAAGAGACAGCTCGGGGAATGTCATCACACAGGAAAACAAGACATCATTTTATTACCAGTCTAATCAGAATTCGGAACGGCGCTTCACACAGCGTATTATTATTATTATTCAAAGGATCAGTCGGGGAAGTGAACTGCCTGAAAAGAGAAAAAACGCCAGACCCACCAGGACCTGGTGGGTCTGGCGTTTTTTCTCTTTTCAGGCAGTTCACTTCCCCGACTGATCCTTTGAATTTGAAGTTCTCCCAATCCTTTCCAAATTATTATTATTATTATTATTTATAAATAATCGACGCGGAGACAACAATTTTATAATAGCTATAAAGAGAACAAATTCTGCTGTCATCGCCACACTACAACAAAGTCATGAAGGTTTACCAAAATCGATTTTCTTGTCACAATCATCAGTGGAAAGCCGTGACTGAAGAATAACCATGCCAAATTAATAATTTATATACATTCAATAATGTGTTACGAGAACAAAACAAAGTGCTAAAAATAGAATGAGGGAAGGTGAGACAATAGAAGTAAAGTGAGAGCTAAGTGCAACAGGGGTGAGGAACTAATTGCAACGCTAGAACTATGTAGTGAGACAAACAATCATGCTGTGCACCTACGAAAACAATCTTAACGCAACTACATGTTTCTTCTGCTTACAAAGATCAGGCTTATGCAAACGAATACAAACAGCCTCAAGTACTTTCAACTGACTAGCGTACCGTGCACGACAAAGAACAGAAAAACTAAAATCATCATACACCTGCAGACACTTAGGGTGAGACAACAGATGAAGAAAAACGGCAGACTTCTTACGATCACAATCACCATCCGATTCCTCGTCTCCACCAACCGCAACCTCGTCCCCTGTCTCATCTTCCAACTCATCCTCAGTGTCGTCCTCCGTGTCATTCTCCTCATCACCACCGATCGGTCCCAGGCTCGCTTCACGTTGCTAAGTGTCTGCAGGTGTATGATGATTTTAGTTTTTCTGTTCTTTGTCGTGCACGGTACGCTAGTCAGTTGAAAGTACTTGAGGCTGTTTGTATTCGTTTGCATAAGCCTGATCTTTGTAAGCAGAAGAAACATGTAGTTGCGTTAAGATTGTTTTCGTAGGTGCACAGCATGATTGTTTGTCTCACTACATAGTTCTAGCGTTGCAATTAGTTCCTCACCCCTGTTGCACTTAGCTCTCACTTTACTTCTATTGTCTCACCTTCCCTCATTCTATTTTTAGCACTTTGTTTTGTTCTCGTAACACATTATTGAATGTATATAAATTATTAATTTGGCATGGTTATTCTTCAGTCACGGCTTTCCACTGATGATTGTGACAAGAAAATCGATTTTGGTAAACCTTCATGACTTTGTTGTAGTGTGGCGATGACAGCAGAATTTGTTCTCTTTATAGCTATTATATTATTATTTATTAAATTTTTAATAGGGCATTGAGCTCGACTGCGTCATATAAAGCGGTACAGATGGCTTTAATACGTTCGCAAAGATTGTCTGTCACGACTGGCACGGCACGGCGCTACCAGTGCATACAGAGCTGGGTCCTCCTGTGGTGCTACTTGTACTTACAGTGTGCCTAGAGGGATCATGTGTGATTGCGCCCCGTGGCCGACCTGGGGCCTTACCCCCCCCCCCCCCCCCAGGAGCTGGCTCCCGGGCCTGTGGTCTTTTGGGGTGCATTCCACTGAGATTTCTCAGTGCTATCATTTTTTTTGGACGAAAAAAAAACACCAACCTGGCTCAAGAAAATCCCAAGAAAGGTAAAATAGATTGCAGGGAGGACGAAGATAGGACTAGAACACAGAAGCCTAGCGTGCATGCGATGTGCCTGGTTGAAAACGGTGTGCTTTGTCGTTTGGACTCCTCTCTCTCTCCAGCTTGCGGCAGCTGCAAAGGTGTTTGACGTGAGCGGATCAGCATCATCGCGAAGGCACATGGAGCGTGAGATCAACGCCCTCCAGCGCCTCACGTACCCACGCGTGTGTGCACTGCTGGGGGTGTACGAGTCAAAAGGTAATACTGCGCGTGTGTGTTCGCACATGTGTGTGTGTGGGGGGAGGGGGGGGGGGCTGTGTACTATGCGTGTGGGGGGGGGGGGGGGGTGCTGTTCGTGTGTGTGTGTGTGTGTGTGTGTGTTTGAAGATCTAGAAAGCATCTACTATGCACTAACGAAGGAGAGTATGACATTATAATTGTGTGTGCTGCCATCTTTTCATGCGAACAGGACAAACACTTGTTATGGTGGAGCTGATGAAGGGAGGAACACTGCTCAACTACGTTTCACGCCAGGAGGCTTGGCACGAGGACGTGGCCGCGTTCGTCATACGCCAGGTCAGCAAAACCGTCTGATCTCCCGACGCGACGTGCGATGGGGAGAAAGCTTTGCTGCCGCCGTGATGTGTGTGTGTGTGTGTCCGTGAACTACACCGTTGATGCTCCCCGCCGCACACCCCACATCCGCCCAATACCTCGCCCACACCCCACCCCACACCCCACACGGGGTCCTTTTTGGCGGGGGGACGGGAATAAGATCGGGGCTGGCAAGTGCAGGACAGTTTACGGCGTGAATGATCCGACTTTGCGGTGCTGTATTGCATAGGACAGTCTGGTGTTCATGCACATACCCAGGGGCGTGCTCGGCCCCCCAACACGGGAGCCGAGGGGAGCCCCCCCCCCCCGGCAATTTTCTGCAATTTGTTTGCAACCTTTCTTGAATTTTAGAGCATATTTGCATACATTACAATTGCAGATTGAAAAATTTTTGGGGGGTGCACGTGCCCCCCGTGCCCATCGCCGAGCACGCGCCTTCATACCTACATACCTGCACTGTCATGTACTGTAAGACATGAACATAATTATAACCAGGGAGTAAATCTACAGTTCTGGCAACTGAAATTCGACCCCTGAGCGTTGCGTTCGCATTCTAGCGGTCTCTATTTCGTAGTGTTACAATCCTGTGTTGGGCCTTTGCGATGTGAGCGCACCGCCCAGGGGTCGGATTTCAGTTGCCGGCACTGTAGCATTTTAATGAGTGGCATTTCTTCGTTAT